AAGAGCAAAAACTAGTGTACGAAGGATTTCAAGAGCAAAAACTAGTGTGCTAGGGAGTTCAAGAGCAAAAACTAGTGTGCTAGGAAGTTCAAGACCAAACACTAGTGTGCTAGAGAGTTCAAGACCAAAAACTAGTGTGCTAGGAAGTTCAAGACCAAACACTAGTGTGCTAGAATGTTCAAGAGTAAAAACTAGCGTGCTAAGGACTTTAAAGTACAAAAACTAGTGTAATAAGGAGCGAAGAGCAAAAACTAGTGTGCTAAGAAGTTGAAGAGCAAAAACTAGTGTGCTAAGAAGTTGAAGAGCAAAAACTAGTGTACTAGGAAGTTAAAGAGCAAAAACTAGTGTGCTAGAGAGTTAAAAAGCAAAAGCTAGTGTGCTAGGAAGTTAAAGAGGAATCAAAGAAAGCTTAGAAAGAATTCCCATGTGCTGAGAGTATTGGAGACACATTAAATATAATTCAAAATTACTTGTACTTGATTGAGATAGTGATGGAAAAGCTGAAAACTAATAATGCAAATCAGAAAATTATAATATGAACAGATTTGAGTGTAAAACTGATTGGAACCAAAAAAAATTATGAATTATTATGCTAATTAGGGAATTAAAATAAACAGATTTTAACCCCAAACTAATCTGGTTTGTACATTGTCCTAGAGCATCTTTGTACCAAGTTTCATTGAAATGGAATAATTAGTACTTTAGATATCAGTGTGATAGCTTAAAAGTGGTTAATTATGCAAATTAGTAATTAATATGTACAGATTTTAACCCACAATTATTCAGTCTATTGTCCCACAGCATCCATGTACAAAGTTTCATTGAAACGTGATGATTAGTACTTGAGAAATCAGTGTGAAAGCTGAAAATTAATTAATTAATTATGCAAATTAGGTATTTAATATGCCCAATTATTTACCCTAAAACTAATCAGGTCTTTGGATAGTCCTGAAAGATCTATGTACCAAGTTTCATTGAAACGTGATGATTAGTACTTGAGATATCTGTGAAAAAGCTGAAAATTAACTAATTATGCAAATTAGGTAATTA